AGCACTTCTAAAATCCATCAACCAAAAACCTGTAAGCTTAAATGCTTTGCATCAGATCTGGTGTCACTTCTGATTTTCCGATCGTTTGTAAAACGGCTGGTTACAGACCGGTTCATTCGCTCAACAATTTATTGCAATATAAAAGACGAGGAGGCTTAGCTAGTTACTAATTAAGAAAAATTTGCCAAATAATATCGAAATTAAAGACAATTGCAAACATCAACAATGTTGATTACTAAAAATTCCGCACTTCTAAAGACTCATTCGTAGATCCTTATTCAGTATTGTCACACTTGCTTCTTAGATGACCCAAATGTTTTAGAGATCCAGCAGGCATCGTAAGTCGCTTTGTCGACGAAAAAAATTGTGATGACACTGATGACGGGCTTTGTAGCATGAAAATCATCGATAGCGTGCACTCTTTTGAAGGGCAAATCACCATATATTCGACTTCGCTTTTTTTTTCAGCTTTTTCCACATGGAAGAATATCTGAAAGTTCAGAAGTTCTGCCGTGCGAGCTTTTTCTCAACACTTAGCAGCTGTCACCACCCACCCAAGTGCGTCCACTATTCGATTTACCCTCCCCGCGGTATTTATGACCATCTACGGCTTTGCGGAGAAGGTAGTCATAGATACGCTTTTGTAGCCTATAAAGAACTAAAAACAACAGGATATAGGCATATAAGCATCGCCCCGCAAACCTTTGCAATCCGACGTGTGCGGGGCGCTCTTTATATATTGCATGAAGTCCACGGCATGTTGCTTTGCTTGTTCGTATTGGTGGTGGTCAAAAGCGCCAATCGTATCGATTCTTCTTCTGAAACAAATGAATCAAACATACCCCAATTACGTTTATTCACCTTATCGCGCAACTTATCATAAATTGCCGCTCAATTTATTTATCATAAATACTGGTAGTAACTGGAGACTGGAGAATGCTCAGTCAATTTTGAAAAAGGCGCTCTCTATTTTACTGGAAAGCACTTTAGGATTTCCATTCGTGCGATAGCACCCCTGCGGTACCGATTTTTTGGTGTACGCCCAAAATTAGCGGCAATAAGGCCCTAAGCAACGCAGCACTCCTATCGACTCAAAAATGTATGGGGCCAAGACTTTTACGCCAGAGGCAGCAAAGGCCAAATGTATGGCCTTATAACTTTAAAGCTCAAGTGAATCTTGACTGCTTTTTCTAACTTTGTAGAATGGAACGAGGCAATTCTAATGACACCAAGCACTAAGAAAACTGAGTTCAGAAAGTATCAAAACGAGGGCGCTTTTTGTTGGCGGCTTTGTGAAAAGTGGTATTTCGGAGGGATAACTTGCTGTCTTTGGTATCATTCGAACCGTAAAATTGATAGATGATTGATGACAGCAATAGTTGATATTAAGTTTTTAATATTAAGTCGCTTTCAAAAAGTTGTAGGAGCTTAAACTTTTTAACGCGCGCTACGCCCGGCTCCTATCGACGCTTTTGCCCCTTCCAGCAAATTGCGGTTTTTGGCCTGTTTGATTGGCCGTGGTTGGTGCCGAAAACTTTTGACAAAGGGACTGATGCTACAGCAGCTGCGACACTCGACGGGCCGAAGATTTACCACCCCGTCCTTATAAAAATATCGTGAAATACCTTGAGGGGTAAAGTGCGCTTAGGCCTGAGTTGGAAGTACATATTGACAATAAGTAGAAATATGTAGTTGGCAGTTAATATTAAGGCACACGATTCCTTAGTTCGAAATCCGCGACAATTTGAAGATTTGGAGCCACGTTTCTTGATGAATCCCTACCCTAGCAACTAACGCGCTGACCGCCGCGGAAAGCATTATTCGAATTTTGCAGAACCATTTAAATTTTTGATACATTTTCGGCCATTTGGGTAGGAACAACGATCGTATTTTTAACAAGCGTGGTCCGCAACTTCAGACAAAATTAATTCGGAGGCATCGCAAAACTTAGCACCTGGGTGCCATCTCACGAACCGGCATGCTATAGTGTGCAAAAACATTACAGTTAGAGCAAGCCCGACCTAGAATCGTCGCTGAGTTTCGCGTATGTAGATTTGTATTTGGGGCAAGCAACCTTCCAGTCGGAGCTGTGACGGAGCACGGTGTGAAGAAGGCCTTGATGTGCATCACTGTCCAGGATATCCCCCTAAAGATTAAGGTTGCGATGCATCAGAAACAATTTTATCACCGTTACGTCGAACATTACCGGGAACGGAACGTGTAGATCTGCGGGGCTGTTGAAGGCCGCTGAAGTGGTTTCTTCTTTTGCAAGCCGTTCAAGGCGGGCTTTGGCTTCTTTCACCGGGAAGCGGGTGACTTCGCGCGCATGTGCCTAAACGAGGAATTGCGCTTGGTCACAAGCTCAAGTTTTGAAGTACCATCCTCGACGAGAATTTACCGAGCGAGAAACAGAGTATACTCTTCATATCCACTCGCCTTTCAGAAAATGAATAATCAAGCAAGGTTGTGGAATTTTTCCCAAAGGAGCTTAATATTCAGGAAAATTACAAATATTATCAAGGTATAGAATATACGACATCCTTACAAAAGTATGTAACTCGTTATTAAATAGCCTTACCGGGGCTCCGGCCTGGACGCTCAGAATGCCAGTCTGGGAGCCCGGAGGCGAATATTGCTCCTTGATGGCGTTCAGCTTTTGCTTCTCGGTTGTACAGTCTCCAGGACAATCCCACCAGGCCGCCAGGTACGCTTCATCACTAAAAAATTTTCAGGTCGCATTGGGTGAAGATTTATATAATAGTCTAAATGCTCCGGGCTCATCATCTTGTCTGTTCAACCCGGTCTACCGCTCTTGGTAAAAACTCACAAAGACGAGTCATAGGAGGCGCTGGCCATTCTCGTATTTACAGCTAGCGGGTCGCTGAAAATGGGCGAACTCTCGCTTTTTAAAAAACTCGTGGTAAGGAGACAACAATCTTTTGCATCATCGAGACACAAAAAATAAAAATGAAGAACTTTCAGGAGACAAAGCGATTGGGGACATATTGCCCCGTTTTCGCTCCAGTCACAATGCTAGATCGTAAAGATAAGGAAAGCTCAATCGCAAATAAAACTTTTCGGAATAGCCCGTGTAAGTGCGACGTTTTGTGTTTTACTACGTTTTTAATTTACAGTGCAATCGCGTAATACACTTTCCAACGCAAATAATTTATTACTAACTAGACAATGGCATACAAAGACTACTATTTTAAACTCTGAATTGGTTTTATTTTCATAGGGGATTGAAGGGATTGAATGATGCATGATTAAATAACCGCTCGAAAACGTCAAGATTTTTGGAGATAAATTTTTCTTTAAATCCAGATCCATTCCACAAAGAAAATTGTAATGATGTTTTTCACGTCTCGGGGATCGTCAAACGCCGGAACTCGCTTGTCTCGCTCCTTGGCAATACAGACGGTGTATATCTCGTTGAACCTCGGGAGGGTGTGTTACCTCGAAGAATATCCAAAAAGCAGGTGTGAGTTTTAGTCTGAATTTTCACCTGGACAGAACCATTGTCGTTTGCCCCTTCACCGGCATAACTTGACGTGGTCATATTGGAGCATAGGTAGTCGTAGATGAGTTCTTGTAGTTTTTGGAAAACTGCAAGGTCAATTGGTGTTAATAAGAAAAACATTGCAAATAGAAAGTATGATAGAAAGCAACACACGTGGAGTTTCGCATCACCGGTCGTGGGGGGAGATAAAATGAGTCTAAAATGCCTGGTAACTTGTTTTTATTTTATCTATGTATATTTTTAGGAAATATTTTACAACACCGTACAAGTAGTCAAACAAACGCATATTTCAACAAACAAAAACTTTCAAAAATGTTCGAAAAATGGACATTTCGGCCAAAAACGGCCATTTTTGTTCGAAAAATACCGACGTTTGTAATCATTTCCAGCGTCCTCTCTATCGAGTAGCTTCCAGAAGGGCTCGTCTAAATTTCGGGCTTTTGAGTCGTCCCCGGAAAGTGCAGACATTTCGCGCACAAATTTCCTGGAAGCAACATTTTAAGATGCGTGCATTTGCTGATTTTTTCCGAAGTGTAATGTTAGCTCGTTACTTACTTCAAGGGTTTTGAAAGTTTTCCGCAAGCATCTCCTTTCCCCAAGTCCTTCCTTGCCATTGAGAACTATGACGAAGCATGGTATGAAGAAGCCCTTGATTGCCGCTATTG